TCTCTCTGGTATCCTATATTATTCAATGTTTCCTTTAATAACTTGAATGATGGAAAGAGAGTACATTTGTTATATATGTAGGTGATACCAACCTAGGAGGGATTTCAATCACTTTGGAGAGCAGAATTAGAATGAATAATGATCTCAGAAATTTTGGAAATGCTCTGAAATCAATAGGATCCAAGTCAATAAAGACAGGTGCAAAGTACTACATTTAGATAGGGATAAAGAGCTGCACAGAAGTTCCCTGCCCCAATCAGGGAGCCAGAGCTGGGAGCTCCCTACTGCTGGGACAGGGGGACATTGTCCCTGCCCCAGCAGCAGGCAGCACCCTGGAGGCAGGGTGCGTCTCCTGGTCCACTGGTCCCTGCCAGCCCCTGAGCTAGCACCCAGGAAGGAACCTAGAGCTGCCCCTGGTAGCGGCTGGGGCCCATTGCAGGGCTGCAGGAAGTGGGAGCAGCTTGCTGCTAGGAGCACCTGCCTGAGAGCATTTACTCGTGCGTAGTTTACTCACAAGTAAACTGATCCCAGATCAAATGCATGCGTAGATGCACCCTCTGGGTGTGTCTGCATGAGATGCTTAATGCACAGCAGCCTAATAACAGTGTGCAGTAGCGTGCTGGGGAGAAACCGTGCTAACACACTACTGCGCAGTACTATTAGGTTACTGCATTGTAAGCTTCCCTAAAAAACCATATGCTGGCACTACTGCGCAGTAACTACTAGGGTTGTGTGAGATTTTGCCTCCAGTTTTCTTTCAACGCTGTTTTGACTTGTTTCGAGGTCAAAACAGTAAAATAAAAAAAAAAGCCAGATATCGTCAAAACAGTCTCAAAACAAACAAATCAAGTCGAAACATTTCAAACACTGTTTCATTTTGCCCATAGGCTATAATGGAGAAGAATGAAACAGCCTATAACTTTGTCATTTCTGGCCTGATTTGGATTAACCGTGCAGGAATGGTAGCCCCTTCTAAGGTCATGAAGTCTACCAAGTTTCAAGGAGATAGGTGCAGGGGGGTTGGGGAAACTGTACCCCAAAGTCTTGAAAGCAAAACTCATGTCACATGTATGTGTTAAGCCACAGCGAGGTCAAAACTGCAGGCATGCTAGCCCCTGCTGAGGCCACAAAGCCTGCCAACTGTCAAGGAGATAGGTGCAGGGGCTTCTGGGTTCTGGGGCCCTGCACCTCTAGCTGCTGACAGGCAAAACTCATGTGATGGGTGCTTGTACAACTGTCTGTCTTTGGGCAGAGGGAGGTGAAAACAGCAGGTCTGCTAGGCCCTGCTGCAGCCACAATGTTGGCTACAAAGGAGCAACTCACAGGATCATCATAAAATTCTAGTTTATTAGACGGATGCAAAAGTCAGATCATAAACCTTGGGGCTGATCCCCTCAAACACACACACACATTTCTGCACACACACACACTCGCAGTAGCTAGCTATGAATACTAAGCACCAGTGTCAAGCTATTACCTATCCCCAAGCGCTGGAGTCCACTGTCAATGGCCAGTCGAGGCTTCTTTCATTGTGATGTTGCTTCAGAAGGGGGTCGCCAGCTGGTCCTTCTGGCTGGACAGGCAGGGTGCTGGTCAGGTAAAAGAGGGCGCCATTGGGTGTCATTCTTCGCTGCCTTTTATCCCTCTCTGGCAGACTTTGGTGACTCCCCAATTCTTGGGCTTACCCAATCCAGGGGTCATTGACCTCGTGGGACGTCCCCCTTGGTGGCTGCTGGATGGCAGCTGTCAGCCCCAGGGGTCATGTCCATGAGTATGCGCAGTCTCGGGAGTCCGTAGATGAATTTTGATTAATACACTGCCGTGATGAATAGGGTTCTGGGAGCGGTTGACTGGGGGGGTATTCAGTCCCAAGAGTCGGTCTTCAGCGTTCATTAGTTCAAATCAGGGCTTCTGTACCTTTACCAGTGAAGTTTCACGGAGTTCCTGGCTCTGTATTGATTCTTTCCTCTCCTTTGACTGTGGTTTCCTGGTGTTAATCCTTGCTCATTAACTCGGTATGGTAGCAAGCTACTGTGTTACGCAGTCAATCATGATTCACTCAGGGACCAGGTCGGTACAGGGAGGCGGCGATTCGATTCCCGCCCTTGCTAACGTTGTTATATGGTACAACGTATAACATGCCTGTAGCTTTCACCCTGCTGCACCTTAACACAGTGTCACCACTATTACAAGTTTTGCTTGTCTGCAGCTTGAAGAACAGATTCTCCCAAACCCCTGCACCTATCTCCTTGAAACTTGGCAGGCTTTGTGGCCTCAGTAGGGGCTAGCATGCCTGCAGTTTTGACCCCGTTGTGACTTAACTCACATCACATGTGTGTTTTGCTTTCAAGACTATGGGGTGCAATTTCTCCAAACCCCCTGCACCTATCTCCTTGAAACTTGGCAGGCTTCATGCCCTCAGAAGGCGCTACCATTCCTGCAAGTTTCATCCAAATCAAGCCAAAAATGACAAAGTTACAGGCTGTTTTGACCTTCCCCATTATCGGTGAAACATCGAAACAGGTTTGAAACGGCAAAACTGTTTTGAGGGAACAGAACAGCTGTTTCAAATCGAAATAAAATTCAAAACGCTGGTTGAAACGGAACACTACTGTTCCGCACAGCCCTAGTAACTACTACGCATTAATGAACGTGTAGATGTGCCCACTCAAATGTATAAAAGAGGAGTGTCCTGTGTAAACCACACAAAGTAATTCTTCCACTCTGCTCAAGACTGCTAAGGCCTCAGCTGGAGCTCTGTGTCCAGCTTTGTGCTTCATGCTTCAAGAAAGACATGGACTAACTGGAAAGAATTCAGAAAAGAAAACTGAAAGTAATCAGAGGGCTCTAAAATGAAAGAATGAAAGAATTGGGTTTGTTTAAAGAAGAGAAGACTGTGAGGATACATTATAAATATATAAAAAGCTGCTACAAAGAGCAAAAAAGCTGTTTACAAGTAGTAATGGGTTTAAATGGGTATTAGATATCAGGATTTTAAACTTTAGGACAGTGACTTTAATTATAAGAATGGTTAAGAACTAGAACGGATTACCTAGGGAGGCTATGGAGTCTCATAGAACGGGAGGTTGTTATGAACAGGTTAGGCAGGCATATCAGGAATGGTTTAATTCTAGTTGATCTTGCCTTGAGACAGAGAGATGGACTAACTTACTGCTCAAGATTCCTTCCAGTCCTATTTACTATGCTTTTTCCTGCAATAATTATAGATTTTAAAGCTAGTAGGATCCACTCTGGTCATCTGCTATACCCTTCTGCATAACATAGGCACTATGCCCAGTGTTCCATCTGAGTTCCATTTATTTGATGTTTTTAAATATAATGTAGCTCATATAGTTTTGTGTGGCAAAATATCTGTAAGTACCCAGCAGAAGTTGTTGGAGAAGCTGGTGATGGTAACAGTTGGAGAGAGGTTTTGGTGAAAGCTAGGCAAAAAAAATTTTGGTGAGTCATGTATTCACCAAAAATGCACTCTTGGGGCATCCAAACACATTCTCAAATAGTTTTGGCACAAAAGTAACACAATCAACCAGTTTCCCTGTGCACATTTAATTGTCTGGAGGAGGTGAATCCGCTTCAGTGGGAGAGCCTAAGAGAAACTCATCCCATGTAAAACTAGAGCCTGATGATTAAGGCAGTAACCAAAACAAAAGATGGGAAGCCCAAGTTCAAGCCCTACCTTCAATAATATTTTTGGGGCTATGGAATAGCCTTTAAACCCATGTTACATCTAAACCACAGTTCCAGGTTTCCTGCCCTTTATTTATAGTGATTTAAAAAAAAAATCAAAACAAAATGTTTTGTACAACCAAAAACTTCTTTTTAATTCACCAAAACCCCAGACATACTCATTCTGGGTTGGGACAAACATTTTTTCCTCAGTTTGGCCACTCCCTGCAAGAACCAGCTATTCACACAGCTGTGCTTATGGTAATTTTTTTGGCAGCAGCTGCTTCAAATTGCAGTTTCAGATGTTAGTTTAGGTTCTTCTCCTACCTAAACGTGCGGCCTGATAATATTCAGTCTGAGAGAATGTGTATGCTGTAGTACAACATTTTCCCTTTAGTTTTCAGCATAGCTTCCCTCTTGTGATAAATATGATCAAGGTTTTACTTGCCACAAAAGAAGGTTTCTGTGTTTCAGTTGTAGAAATTGATCTATCATTTTTCCCCTTTAAACATTTAAGCTTTGGGCAAAATTCACAGAGACCCTTAGAGTCATATTCACAGTAGCTTTTGTACTTGTGTTCTCAACCTGGTATCATAAACAGGGTAAATATCAGGTATGTACGAACTGATGCTCTGCTGCCGTAGGCACCACAACGTTACAGTCCCCTCCATACATTTACCACACTCCACCTTACAAAGGTTTTTGCCCCCATTACATTAATTGGAAGGCTGATCCAGAAACTCCCTGTTCTGAACCTTCTTATTTCCAGCCTAAGTTCATTCATGGAAGTCTATACCCATTAGTAATTGTAATAACATCGTCCTTTAGTTTAATAGCTTCTCCTTTCCTGATGCATTTATAGACTTCAGTCATATCCCCTCTCAGCCTTTGTTTTTTTTAAGCTACATAAGCCAACCTCTTCTAGTCTCCTTTCATATGATAGGTTCTCTGTTCCCCTGATCATCCTGGTAGCCCTTGTCTCTACCTGTCCCAGTTTTAATTCACCTTTTTGGACATGTACAAACTATTTCTGATGAGGCCTCACCACTACGTTGTACCCTGTCTCTTCAGATACATCTTAAGATTGCATTTGTCTTTTTGCAGGTACATCACATTTATGGCTCATACTCATTGGGTGGTAGTTTTCTTTTGCTTTTAATAAAATGCATCATCCCTTTTAAATATACATGCTCAATTCCTTGTTAAGTTTGACTTTGGTTTTCCAAGCCTCCAGAGTGTCTGATTTATGGTATTGGACAAAAGAGGGATTCTTTTTAATCACTGAACCATGATTTTTTTGTAATTATCTTTAGCCAAGAGGCTGGAATCCTATCAAGAGGCTGATTTAGAAGGTGAGGATTTAGCAGATGCTCTGTGTAGCTCCTTGAGCCTCATGCCAAAACAGAAGGAACACAGCTGCAGGACAGCGAATGAGCCTTTGAACAGCAAGTCTTCGAATCAGGCAGCTGCTGGCTGTTCTGCCTCAGAAGGGGAAGATGGAGCCAGTGACATTCCACGCTCAAGACATGTAGCTTTCAGCAGCCCTATTGTAAGTAGAGATTGATGTCGTTTGATATTAAATATCCAAAATTCCTCATGAAGAAGGAATTGGGGGAGGCTATGTTCCCCCAGGCATCACCTAGGGTTACTAGGAATAATGTCCACAAATTGTGAGAGAGAAGGTTCAGGCTGGACATCAGGAGACATTACTTTACAGTTAGGGCTGCCAGGCTCTGGAATGGGCTCCCAAGGGAGGTGGTGCTCTCTTCTACCTTGGGGGTCTTCAAGAGGAGGCTGGACAGATATTTGGCTGGGGTGATATGACCGCGGCCCCCGTTCCTGCCCAGGGCAGGGGGTCGGACCTGATGTTCTGTTTACATCCCTTCCGACCCTGGACACTATGATACTGCACGCTCTTGTGGGGGTTGGCCCATGTGTTGTCCTTCAGGCCTACTCCAGTTCAGCCCTACTCAACACACCCCCTGGGGCTGCTCTTCAAACCATCCCACAGCCCTCCTCAACCCCAAGTTATGCCCAGTCCTTCAGACAGTAAAGATGTACCCTACTCTGGGCAGGCCCCACTGCTGCCCCCTCTCTGGGGCCTCCAGGGTCTCATTCCCCTGTGGGGGCTCAGTTAGCCACAGCCATGCTTGGCCCCTCACCACTGCTGGGGTCTTACACCCCCTAGGGCTCAAGTGGCCATAGCCGTACCTGACCCTTGTACCCATGGTATTGTGGGGGCTAGGGGTTATTAAAGCGCCCCGACCTGCCTTTCACCAGGCAGGTGAACGGTCCTGGTATTTGAGTGGTGCTGCCTCACCACTGGCAGTCCCTCCAGGCCACCCTTCCCCAGCAGGGTGCAGTTTTAGGTCATGCCTAGGAGCAATGAGGCCTCCTCTGTCCCCATACCTCCAAGATATTCCAGGAGCAACTCAGCCCAATGTTACCTCCTTGTCTGCTCAACTCAGACTGCTGCCTCTCTGGCCTATGTTTGAAAATGGCCACTGCAGTCAGCCACCTGGTGGCTGCCTGCTCCAGCCCTTAAAGTGGCAAGCACCAAAGCTGTGCTGCCACTATCAGAACATGGACCAGGGGCTTGAAGTTCCAGCAAAGCAGGTTTAGATTGGGTATTAGGAAAACCTTCTTCACCGTTAGAACAATGAGGCAACGGAAAAGAGTGCCTAGGGAAGTTGTGGAATCTCTAGCATTGAAGTTATTCTACAAGAGGTTGGATAAGCTTTTGTCCAGGGATGATGGATGCATAGCGATGCCTATATTCCACTATGGGTATTTCCCATGCTTCTGGGCTTTTCTGGTTGCCATATGAGGCCAGGAAGGATTTTTCCCCTGCCTGCTGCTCCATGTGTCAGGGGCTTATTTTTCACTTTCCTCAGAAATATTAGGTGTTGGCTGCAATCAAGGCTGGGGATTTTGACTGGGGTGTGCCGAGAGGTTCCTAGCTAGGTCTTGGTCCTCCACTCACAGTCAAACCAACTGTCATATTTGGGGTCAGGAAGAAATTGTGACTCATGGTCAGATTGGTACAAACTGTGGGAGTTTTTGCCTACCTCTGTAGCAGGAAGTATAGCCCTCTTTTTTGGATCTCTTGCACATATTTTAACAACCTGTGCAGCAACATGACATTGGCCACTATGGTCCCTCCTGCTTTACCTGTGGCAGTTTAGGACTGGGTCACAACTGACTCTGTAGTGTTGCTAATAGGTTAGACAAAGGATTTGTATAGGATGGTTTGGATAAGGTGATCCTGCCTTATGTAGAGGGCTGGACTAGATGAACGCTGGAGATCCCTTCTAGCCCTACTTTTCTATGCTTCTATGACACTGCGTTTTTTCTCATCCATTTAGCTATGAATTTCTCCCTTGGGCAGAGGGTTAGTTGGCTCTGCCCTACTTCAATCCTGTTTTAAGACCTGACTAACAGTCACAAAATGCTGAGGATGCCAGGATGCTGTTCCTTTTCTGAAGTGCTCAGCATCTATATGAAGTTATTTACACTCGTTTAATCCCTCAAATTATAATCTGTAATTGAGGTCACTGAGATTTATTTGGCGAGTTTTATTCCCTGTTGCCTACACAACGTGCCAGTAGTAGTGAGGGCAGCAATCATTCTATTTTGATGCATACTTCTAATAGCATTCATCAGTGCTGTAAAACCTTGCAATACTGAAAATGTTCCAGGAGCAATATATTAGGCCCCTGGGACCATATGCTAATGAGACACTTTTTAAATCTGATAAACAGGAGACTGATGTGGTACCGGACACACAGCTCTTGGAGAAATTCAATCAAATTTCCTTTAATTCCTTTGAACAATCAGAAGAAACTGATAGAGAGCAGTCTTTGGAGACAATGTACATCACCGACTTCTTTCTGGCTCTGGCAATCTGTAATACCGTGGTAGTTTCATCCCCTAACCAACCACGTCAAAAGGTAAGAAAAAATTCTGTTACTTAGTGGCCAAATTTGGGGTGTTGAGGCATATTTATAGTTTTTATTGTGCTCCCTTATAGTACTTTTTGCATGGCGAGAAGAAAAAGAACTGCCATTTAAAAATGATCATTTTCTCCTTCATTGGTTTGCTGCTTTTGCCAGAAGGAAAAGAACACCTGTATTGTTAAAACTGCACAGCCCAGCAAGCTAATGCATAATGTAAACCTAGCAAAGGTTTCCAGTGAAGTGAAGCTTGTCTTGAATACATTTGACTTTCACATATAAATAGTCCGTTACTTTTACAAGACAGATGCTCTGAGACTAAATTGAATTTTCAGTTTTTATTATGTTCTAGTGACTATTAAAATGCTCAATTTTAATACCTCATCCAGAATGAAAAATCTTCATCATAGCAAACTGTAGCTATATCCTAGCATCATAACAAAGTTAGGGAGTGCCTGCTTTTCAATTTTTTTACAGTAATAATAATAATAATAAAACATAGATTTTACACCTAGGATTTGTAGCTGCTCAGCAGCTGTTTTATGGGTAGTACTATCCTCCCTGTAGTAATGATCACTTTATACATCTGATTAGAATTGATCCTTAAAAAAAAAGAAGTTAAAATGAGGACAACCTCTGAGTGACCACATTTGAACTTCCTATAAACTCATTTGAACCATGATTGAACCTAGTGATTACTCTAAATAAATGTTACTTTATAAGAACCTTATTTCTCCTGCTAAATTGTGATGTTTCAGTGATTACTCCCATTGTTTATACAGCTTGGATTTTAGTGTTAAAAATGCCCAGCTAAATACATAGCTTGCTCTTTATAAATTTCATAGATTTCATAGACACTAGGGCTGGAAGGGACCTCAGAAGATCATCGAGTCCAGCCCACTGCCCCAGGGGCAGGAAGTCAGCAGGGATCATAGGATCCCAGCAAGATAAGCATCCAAGTGTGTCTTGAAGGTGTTCAAAGTGGGTGCTTAAACCGCCTCCGGCAGCAGTCTATTCCAAACCTTGGGGGCTCGGATAGTAAAGAAGTTCTTCCTTATGTCCAGCCTGAATCTGTCACGGTGGAGTTTGTGACGGTTCAATCTTGTCATCCGTTGGGGTGCTCTGGTGAACAGATGTTCCCCCAGATCCTGATGAGCACCCCTGATAAACTTGTAGGTGGCCACCAGATCACCCCTGAGCCTGTGCTTTTCCAGGCTGAAGAGTCTCATGGCTCTCAGCCTCTCATCATAAGGTCTGTTTTCCTGACCTCTGATCATGTGCGTGGCTCTCCTCTGCACTCTCTCAAGCGTCTCCACATCCTTTTTGAATTATGGAGCCCAAAACTGGATGCAGTACTCCAGCTGCGGCCTCACCAAAGCCGAGTACAATGAGAGAATGACATCCCGGGATTTGCTTGAGAAGCATCTATGGATGCAAGCTAGCATTTTGCTTGCTTTACTAGCTGCAGCATCACATTGAAGGCTCATGTTCATCTTGTGGTCAATCATGACCCCCAAGTCCCTTTCATCTGTAGTGCTAGCCAGTGTAGTACTGCTGAGCCTATAAGCATGCTGCAGGTTTTTCCTCCCAAGGTGGAGCCTTGCATTTTTCGGTGTTAAACACCATCAGGTTCTCATCTGCCCATTTCCGGAGCCTGTCAAGGTCTGCCTGGATCACCCTTCTGTCCTCAGGTGTGGAAGCTTTACCCCAGAGTTTGGTGTTGTTGGCAAACTTGGCCAGTCCGCTTCTGACACCAATGTCCACATCATTAATGAAGATATTAAATAGTATAGGCCCTAGGGCAGAGCCTTGAGGGACCCCACTGGTCACAGCGCACCACAACAATTGACTTCCATCAACCACCACCCTCTGGGTCCTACCACAGAGCAAATTCCCCAGCCAGTGGATCGTGGTGAGGCCAAGGCCGCAGTTAGCCAGTTTTGCCAAGAGGTGATCATGGGATACCAGATCGAAGGCTTTTTTAAAGTCAAGATATATGACATCAATCTCTTCCCCCTTGTCCAAGTGATAGGTCACCTGGTCATAAAAGGAAATAAGATAGGTCAAGCAAGACCTACCCACAACAAACCCATGCTGGCTATCCGTCAGGATATTGCCATCGGCCAGTTTGTTAAGAATGGCCCCTTTGATACTCTTTTCTAAGACCTTCCCCAGGATAGAGGTCATCCTGATGGGCCTGTAGTTTGTCGGATCTACTTCCCTCCCTTTCTTGAAGATAGGCACCACATTGGCCTTCTTCCAACCTTTGGGCGCTTCACCTGAGCACCAGGAGTTCTCAAAGATCTGGGCCAGGGCTGAGCTATGATACTAGCCAACTCCTTGAGTACCCTGGTGTGTAAACTGTCAGGGCTGGCTGACTTGAAGCTATCCAGCCTCTGAAGGTGTTCCTTCGCAAGGTCAGCATTGATGGAGGGTAAGGAATCTCCCTCACCTGGACCTCCCTGTCCCGTAATGGGCAGGGGCATTTCATGGGACTGGTGAAAAACCAACGCAAAGTACCCATTTAGCAAATTGGCTTTTTCCTGGCCATTGTTTGTCAGTTGTCCCAACCGGTTTAGCAGGGGTCCAATGTTGCCCTTGCTTTTCCTCTGGTTCCCCACATATCTAAAAAAGGACTTTTTATTGTCCTTGATACTTGTAGCTAGTTGGAGTTCCGTCGCAGCCTTGGCTTTCCTGATTTGCTCCCTGCAGGTCCGGACCAGAACAGAGTATTCCTCCTTGGAGGTGGATAGTGTCCTCCATCCTTTGTTGATCTTCCTTTTTAGATGCAGGAGGTCTGCTAGTTCCATGGAGAGCCAAGAGGGCTGCTTTGCCCTTTTGCTGCCTTTCCTCCTAGATGGAATAGACTTTGCTTGTGCATCCAGGATTGCTCCTTTGAGGAGTAACCACTTGTCCTGAACTCCCCCCGCCTTTTGGGTTGTGGCCCTTTAGGGCCTCCCTGACAAGCCTCCTGAGCTTGTCAAAGTCAGCTTTCCTGAAGTCAAGGACTTCTGTATTGCTGACTGACTTGCCAGCTTTACGGTGGATGGTGAAGGTGATCAGTTCGTGGTCACTGTCACCCAGCTTCCCTTTGATCATTAGGTCGCTAATTAGGTCATCCCCCGTTGCCAGTACCAGGTCGAGCAGCGCTTTACCTCTCATCGGCCCATAGACTTCTTGCCTCAGATATAGCTCATCCATGCAAAAGAGAAAGCTTTGCAACCGCTCAGATTTGGCCAAGCGCTCTTCCCACAAGATACCTGGGTAGATGAAGTCTTCCATGACAACCATGCACTGGGAGCGTGCAGCCTTAGCCAATTGCCTGGCGAACTCCTGGTCAAGCTCTTGATCCTGGTTTGCAGGTCTGTAGTAGACTCCCACCAATGTGTCCCCTGTGCTGTGTTCCCCATGGATTTTAACACAGAGGGTCTCCAGTCGTCTACCCTGGGTGTCAATGTCGGCGTGCAAGGACGTGTAACTTTCCTTAACATAGAGAGCTACACCCTCGCCCCTTTTGCCCACTCGATCTCTCCTGTACAGAGTATAGCCATCTATACCTGTGGCCCAGTCATGGGTGGAGTCCCACCAGGTCTCTGTTATCCCTATGACATTGTAATTATTTGTGTTAAGCAGGAGGACAAGTTCCTCCTGTTTATTCCCCAAGCTCCTGGCATTTGTGTACAGGCATGCAAGTGTCCCTTTGGGGGCCCTTGCCTTGCCCACAGATTGTACCAGGGCTGGGGCAGGGGTGGGCTCCCTTAAGTGCCTTGGCCTGCTGGCTTTGCAAGGGTTGCTCAGCGGGCCAGCAGTGGCGGTAGTCCCCCCATCCCCCAGCAGGCTTAGTTTAATTTATGATCACAAATGCTCAGTTTGCCTGGACAAATAGATCATTGTAGGCTGATAATTGTCAGCACTGATGAAACCTTTTGCCCCATTCTCTGATCCTCCTACTAGAGCTCTAGCAACAGCATGGGAGACAGTGCGATCAGGCAAAAATGCAACAGAGAAATGTATTAAGAGAATAAAATATTTCCTTCTTCTCTATACATCTGATAAACAGAAAGAGGGACATAAACCTTCTCCTTTCTCTGGAGGATGCAGTGATAAACTGTATTGGGTTAATGATTTAGGGATTGCCTGCAATTTTACTGAGATCAGTATTGGATACTGAGATCTGTATTTCTGCTGTGCAAGATACATTTACATGAAGGAATTCCTTGAATATTAGTGCTTATCAGAGACTCATTAGGTTTCTTTTTCTTACCCTGCATTGCACTGACCCTGCAAAGGGACTCCATACTGAGCCCTGTTTTAACTACCTGTGCAGTCCAATGGATGATTCTGAGTTGGATGCAAGTGAGGACAGAAATGAAGCTAGTTTTGCACTCCCCCCGCCACCTCCCTTCACAGCAACAAAGGAGAATGAGCTTTCTAGAAACTCATTTCTTTGACTAGTTACACTGACAAGTCTTTATTCTAAACTGCTTGCTAGTACCTAGAAATTATTAACAGCATACGTAGATAAGCATGCATAGGCTATTTACGTTTCTAATCAATGTGTAGTAAACCAACATAATAGCTCAAGCACCACGTGGTATCTGTTTTTTTTGTGGGGGAGGGTGGAGAGGAAGAAGTAAGAAGGGAAGTGTGCCAAGTATATAAGTCTATGTATCCTTAAGTCATTTTTAGCTGCTTGTCACTTTTTGTGGAACAGGTTAGCCCTCAAAGGCATCCTTGAAACTAGCAGAAAAGCACAGAAGTCTATTTGCTGTGACTTTAAAAAAAATACAAAATATATTTTCCTCATTGTTTTGTTATTAATCCTAACTACTATTAGTACATCACAACTATATAGTAAAATTGGAAAGCATGTAATTTTACATGCTACGTAATTTTATAGTTGATGTTCTTTAAATATAAGTAGCTCTGGGCTGACCAAACTTAGACTTATGCAGTAATAAATTATACTAAATGTTGCTAAATAATACTGAATACAATTGAGTAAATATTACTAAATAATTTAAATGCAAAAATACCCCCAGCATTAAAGTTTAAATAGGCTATTTCTTCAGGAAGGAACTCAACTACTCCTTATTGACATAAAATATCTGTTGCTTTATGAAATAGATTTAGCCCATCTCTGCTTTCACTGATTTTTTTTTTTTTTATTTTCTTCTATTGCAGATGAGACTTGCTCCGTTAGGTAGAATTCCTATTAAATCCCTTGAGGAAATAAAACAGATGTTCCAGAGGTTATCGGTCCGAAGACTAAGCACATCACCACTTCCAAGTGCAAAAGAATCCTCCTTCTCCGAGAGCTCTAATACTTTTGTGGGCAAACTTTCTATTTTCAGAGTGAAGCTGGCTTCACCTGCTGCTGAGGTGGTTACCCAGATGGCTAACGTACCCCAGACTGCTGATAGGCAGCAAAGCCCCAAAGTACCTCCTCCTGGAGAACAAGATGCAGTAGATGTAGCTGCAGGCAGCAAAACCTGTGATCCTGGACCATATCTTGAACAATGTCCTATAACTATCCTCCACTACGAGGCTGAAAGCCCAGATGAAGCTGCACTGGTTTATGCTGCCAGAGCTTACAAATGCACTTTACAGACTAGGACTCCTGATCAAGTTACTGTGGACCTGGGTGCTTTAGGCTCTTTAACATTTCAACTTTTGCACATTCTGCCTTTTGATTCAGTGAGAAAAAGAATGTCAGTAGTTGTTAGACATCCTCTCTCCAACAAAGTGGTGATATACACAAAAGGAGCAGACTCAGTCATTATGGACTTGTGCAGCGTGCCAACAGGTATCTGCAGAACGTCGGTAGTTCTTGTTAGTCTGGTCTTTATTAGCCTTTGTTTTTTCTTTCATATTTCAATAATGTAATTGGATAAAAAGTTCTGAGTGATTTATAAAGGAAGTTAATAAACAGAGCTGCCTCAATTAAGAGTTCCCCTCTTCCTGTGTGGTGGACAGCTGACACAGCTGAGAAATATAGAGAAGTCAGGGATCAAGTCCTCCATGCAGTAAAATATGCAAGAGGTACCTAACTTTAAGAACCTGTATAGATACATTGGAGCCAGTGGAAGTGTCTACACATGGCCCCCACGGCACAGTTGTTTCTGCACCATCATTTAGTACTTGCTTTAGGAAGTACTAAATGAAGGCCTAGTAACAGCCATTACTGCGCTGTCCCAGCTGCACATGGTTATTTTTAGCTGCTACATCGCCATAGCTCATCATTACAATAATGTAGCATTGGCATCACAGTATGTGCCTGCTGACACTATGTCACTGTAGCAATGAGCTGCATTGCCATAGCGTGTTGCTACGGTGACAAAGCATCACATGTAGATGCCCCCAATAGGATTTTGCACATGCATAATGTTAAGCACCTGCTTAAATGCTTTGCTGAATTTGGACCCATTAGTATGATACTAACACACTTTATTTTTGGTTATTTAAATCTATTTAGAGTTAGATACTCCCTGGTCTTTATCTGTATGAATCAATCTTATTTCACATAGAGAAGCTGTAATATTGAATGCTATCACATGTTGCAGGGCTGTCTAACTTCTAAGCAGCTGGGGCCCTTGGGCTGCACACTATGTGGGTGCCCCCACAACCCTGCATCACACATCCCACCACTGCTGCCCTGTATGCCCACTCAGCCCTGAGCTTACCCTCAGCTCCCCGTGCCATGCCCTGCTGCGTCACACCACCCTGCCCCCTAAAAAGTGCTTAGAAAGCAAAAGCCTGAGGATGGAGGAGGAACCCAAAGACTCAAGATGCTGTTGCAGCCAGGACAGAAGGAGGTAGTGGTGGCTGGGTAGGAGCCTGGAGGCTGTAACTTAACCCCTTGTGGACTATCAGTTGGACAGCCCTGACCTTTCACATCAACTCTGTGTAAAAACAGATCTCGTCCTCCCCTCTGGTACTAAGCACATCTGTATTCCGGCTGCACAGTTCTGCAGCATTTTTTTGTGCCAACAGGAAACATTGGCTTCTGTAGCACAGTGGCATAATAGTTACCACTGTAACGGTTAATCTATGCAGTATGGAAAACACCATCTTTATTGAGGGTCAATAAGAGTAAGACAACACAACATCATCCTGTCTGTATACATGAGTAGTACGTATCTCATTTGGATTTAAATCAAGGAAAGTTTTCTGTCATATCTAGTTTGGAAAACTAAGTTGTTTTTTTAAAAAGTGTTCAGTATAGCTTAACTCCTCTCCCATTGAAATAAAGGGAGTTTGCCATTCATTTCAGTGGCAGATGAGTTAATACAATACTGAGTTCCTATGAAAATCCTTCCCTTACATTTTTTGCCAACTGTGATGCTAGAGTATCCCCTCTTCGCTAACCTCTGACAGACTTGCACATTCTTACATTCCCTAAACATTCAACCTGAATAATCCTGTGCAAATATTTGTTAACATTAAAGTAAAATTTATTCATTTTTTTTAACTTCTCTTTAGCTCTGCTGCTGTGAAATAATACTAATAAGTGTATGTCAACAAAGTGTGTTTTACTTACTTTGTTTTGTTTTGGATGTTTTTAGATGTTCATAGTTCTAAAATGAAACAAAAGAAAATTAAGGCGAGAACTCAGAAACATTTAGATGATTATGCCAGAAGAGGACTGCGCACTTTGTGTATAGCTAAGAGGGTAACCTTTTTGAATAGATTTATTGTTCATGAAATGATGTAATTATCTGGATTAGGAGTGTTAGCTAGGAGATTGGCACCATTACTTCTAAACAACTATATGCACATCAGAACTAGAATTTTAGTTTAATGTAGGTTGATTTCAGGAGATATCAGTAAGTTAACTTGTATTGCTGCATAACCACCAGTGGGTGTCATTGACAAAAGACAATTAAGCAGGGCTCAGAAATTGTAATGAAAAAATAATTAGCTTGGGTTTCTGTGTAAGGCATGTGGGGACTTAGTAGAGTTGGAAAAATGTTCACAAACATATATTTTATTAGACCAACTGTACAATTCATCTAATAAAAAATATCACAAAAAATCCTTGCCCCTCATATATTTCCTGGACCACCGTGGCAAAGCAGCAACACTCCAGCTGTACCCCAAAACATACATCATTTTTCCTGGTTTAGGATTTTAGTCAAACTTAGAATTCAAACAGTCTTGGGCCAGTTTTGTGGCTTTGCATATGTAGTTCAGTGATGTGTGGTTTGGATGAGACTTTGGATGAGATTTTAAGGTGGGTTTTTCTTTGTGTTCAGTACTGCCCAAACAGTCTAGCTATTACATGACAGTGAAATGGAAAGAAAATCTCTGGATTTTGTGACGTTCTAGAATTAGAGCCAAGATGGTGATCACTATGTGTTTTGTTTCTCTGCATAGGTGATGAGTGATGAAGAGTATGCAGAATGGTTAAATAGTCATTTTTTAGCAGAAACCAGTATTGACAACAGGGAAGAGCTTCTACTTGAATCTGCCACAAGGTTGGAGACCAAATTAACACTCCTTGGTAGGTAGAAAATACCTACCCCACTTACGCTTTGCAAGATCTATGCTAAACTGAATTTGCTTTTAAGCTGTAGGGCGCTTGGCCCAAGGCCTTGGCCTTGGCCAAGGGTCTTTCTATTTATAGAAGATTTATTGCTTACTGCTGAATTTCTCTAAATCTCTTTGGTAACTATAGGGCTTACTACAAATTCCCTTGAGAACAAGTCAAGCCTTTCTGATATTTGTACCGGGCTTGAGATGAACCCTATATGACATCTTTCTACCTTGGAATAGACCAGAGCACCTGGGTATTGGCAGCAAAATTATGCACATACTAGAAGGTTGCAATGCATCATGAATTTGCATGCAAAAACACTTGCTGTGTTGCACAGACGTCCTCTCTGCCTTAGCACTCAATCACTGTTGCAGTGCTGGTATAGCAGCCACAGAGGCACAGTTTGTATCTGTAGACAGTTTGGTGATACATGGCAGCCACAGTTCTATGCTAGAATGCTAGTTCAGCTATGGAATAACTGGGAAAAACCTCCAGATAGATGCATTCAAAGGGGAAGGGAGAAAAATGTCCAAAGGGTTGTAGAAAGCTTGTGCATTCAGGTCTATTAGGAAGCAGACTAGGAGTGGCCTCCTCCTCCTTCCTATAAATAAGATAGTTTTGTCCAACTTTTAAACTTCTTGTTTTTGTATTTCCAGAACTTGTAGTCGCTTAGCTTTCTGTAGTGTTAAAGGCAATATGGTGGAGGGGTAATGATGGTGTTGGAAACCTTACCTAGACCAACCCCATCCAGAGCCACTGCATAGGTGAGGCACAACAGCAGTTTCTGATACGAGAAGGAACACAGGGATTTTTGCCTCCTACCTTCTCCAAGGACAGGTATGGAGGAGGCACAGTTCTTTCTGTTGCTCAGATACTGCTTTAGCCAGCATCCATATGTTAAAATCCAAATCTTTCCTCTTGAAATCCTGCTATATTCCATTAAAATGCTACCAGATAGTTCAGTGTTTCCCATCATCACCCTTCCCAAGCTTATCAACTAATTCCTTGTTCCAGGTTAATTTGCTTCTATCTTTCTAATCATTGGCTTGACCAACATGCTTTGCATCATAGGTGCCACAGGTATTGAAGATCGCCTGCAGGAGGGTGTTCCTGACACTATAGAGGCATTACGAAAAGCAGGAATAAAAATCTGGATGCTGACAGGGGATAAGAAAGAGACAGCTGTCAATATAGCATACGCTTGCAGATTATTGGAACCAGATGACAAAGTCTTCACCCTCAAATCACAAAATAAAGTGAGTGGAAAATGAAATTTTTTTTTTGCCGGAAGTGAGAGGCTACCCTGTTAACACGCATGCACACACTCACACCCCAGCATTTTCTAAGACATGAAAACTGAAAAACTGACTCTCAACCATGCAGGAAACATTTTACATAGGTTTTCCAGAAATCTAGGTCTTAATACTACCCCTAAAGGATTACTAATTATTTCATTGAATGCATTGTCTTGTTTCTCTTGGCATTAGGGTAAAAAGTTGACATACTTTACACGTTTATAAAAGCTTGGCGAAAGCTAGAAGTTAAAGCATATTAATATTATAAACACCAGACTAAAATTATTGTCATGGAAATTGTACTGAATGTAATTTCCCCCTGCTTTGTGTCATATCTTCCCTCAGCCCCACTTGATTAGCATTAATGTGCAAGGAATAATCTCATTAAGGAGTATTGCACACAGTTTTTTCAGAGAATTAATCCACTTACAATTTTAATGGAGAAAAAATCTCCTCCCTCCCCCCTTTAAAAGATATTTCAGTGGTTTGGTAAATAAAACAGTGTTAAAAAGTGCAGCTGCAGTAGGAATCACGGTTAATCTTGCTTGATAATTGTGCCCTCTGGTGGATGTATATAGCTATCTGGGTTTTGAGTCTGTTAGCTATTAAAAAAAGGGATTTTAAAAAAATAAATGCCAACTGTGGTAGGTAAAGGTGACCTGCAAAGCATCTGTGGGCAGGGGCTGGGAAGGAATTTTATGCAGAAAGATTTTTAATAAAGTTAGGAAAGATTGTTTTTTAAATCTTCCTTTTTGTCCTACTTGTATTTTACAGCAGAAAATCAGGTTGTGTCTACCCTGGAAGTCTCTCTGCAGTAAATAGATAGTTACTGTAACAACCAATTTATGATGGAAGGGGGTTTTGGTCAGATTTTGTGGAACATGTTTGATATTTATTTTTAGCACTTTTCTGCTTTCTGTGGTTAAATAACAATGTGGCTAATGGGTAGAAAGGAATCACCTTTCTCCCTTCGTTAAAGTGTTAGCCCTCACAAGAAACTGGCTCTGAAGTCTTCTAGCAAGGCAAGGGCAGACAGGACCTGACAATATCTCGTTTCTTGGTAAAAATGCAAGCAGGCAGAACTCCCTTTCTGACAGAAAGACTGCTTTTTTTAATAACATGTAAAGTAGCACAAAAATGGCATTCTTTTGGAACCCCTCACTGTGACCAGTATCCTGGATCTGAAATATATCCATGAGCTTCTCCCTTTCCAGATTAAACACACTGCGAAAACAAACAAGTCATAATCAAGCCTTATTTATATTACCTAATCCTTACTATCATTCTCATGTTTTCATTCACTTGTTCCAGTGTACTTCATTGCTTTTCCTCTTCACAGAACAGAATCTATGTTGAGCCATGCTTTTACAAGGTTAAGTAACAGACCCTTACCATAAGCAGCACACCATATCCAACGTGTTTTAAAAAAATAAGAGAAGATGAATTCAGGTCACCTCCACACACATAAAGTCCAGTCATAGTAAAAGAAATTACTAATATGTGCAGTTTGTGGCCTTTTGCAAGTGTAATTTATAAACTGGAAGTGGACCTGGTTTCTAGTTATATTAGCCTGACTGCCTTTCTCTGTGCATTTGCCTAGGATGCCTGTGCATTGTTGATGAACAGTATTTTAGAAGCTATTCAAAAAAGCATTGATGCCAAAAACAGTCACTGTCCCAAACTTGCAAGTGCATCTCCAGGAACCTCCACTCCACCTACAGAGTTCAGTGCTGGCCTAGTAATTGATGGAAAGACTTTGGAATACGCGTTGCATGAGAACCTGCAGAATAATTTCCTGGAGCTCACAGAAAAGTGTCGAGCTGTTGTCTGCTGTCGAGCAACACCCCTACAAAAAAGTGAAGTGGTCAGACTCGTGCGAAATAATCTGAAAGTGATGACATTAGCTGTAGGTGAGTATCATCTTCCTTCACACAAAGTTCTCTCTGCTCCACTGAACAATATAATCCAGTTTGTTCACCTTCAACATTCTGTTGTGTACTTTTGTTGCTCTGGTTTATACTCATGTGAGACCAGATTCTCTCTTCGCATCAGCTGATATAAGTCCATTTAGTTAATGGCATTGCACCCATTCTTTCTGCCAAAGGTTTGGCCCTTGAATTAGTTACTGGCAAACTCTTCTTCCTCAAGAACAGAGAGAGAGTGATGTTTAGCCTTGCACCTTGTTGGTTTATTTTTTTGTTAGGGGCATGTAATGGGAGTTTTTATGCCATTCTCCAGTACAAATCCCTTATTGTTCTGTAGGAGAAGTGGGAAAAGATCCAAACTCTTTTATAACTGGCTAGCGTTAAAAAAAACCTCACTGTTTTTCTGTTCAGTGTATCAGTTAGTTTCTGAAAAATGTTACAACCATTATCCAGTTGGACAGCGCTTTCATAGGCTACAATATTGATGATAATGATACTCCTCTATATTCTGTACAATTTTCTGGCATATTTATATTTTTTCACTACTTCCATATACAAGGCAATAGCCAACACAATTGTTTCAGTACTGCATTGCAAATAAGTCTTCCTCTTGAATTTTTCCCTTGGAAGGTGATGGTGCCAATGATGTCAGTATGATCCAAATGGCTGATACTGGAGTAGGAGTCTCTGGCCAAGAAGGCATGCAGGTAGCATAAACAAAAAACAGCTGCAAATGACTTCAGACTCAATTTTGAATACATTCACAGTTCACCCTTGAGGCTTGCACAATACATCAGTACATAGGGGGACTAGTTTGAGCTCATTCCCAGGCATGAATGCTCCTCCAGAAGCAGTCAGAGACTAAATGCTGTAGGGGCTCAAAACACTGAGCAAGAAAGTCTGTTACTCACTTTCTGGAGGACACAACGCTCTAAATTTAAATGGTTCAGTGGAATTATGTGAGCTTAAGTAAAGGCAAAGTGTAGGCTCTTGCACGTAAGATGTTTGAGTAGCACAAAGACACTCATATACAGAGAATTGGGTAAGGGATTGCAGGACTGTAGCATAAAATGCCCCACTGCCCCTCACTTGCCTGCATTTGATGCTCTTTGTATCTGATGTGCCACACATTCGGGAGCTCCTTCTTTTCTGTGTGTGTTTTGCAGGCTGTAATGGCAAGCGATTTTGCAATTTCCCAATTCAAGCACCTTAGGAAGCTGTTGCTTGTCCATGGTCACTGGTGCTACACCAGGCTGGCCAACATGATCCTTTACTTTTTCTACAAGAATGTGGTAAGTGGCTTGGGTATATAAGGGAAAAGATACGTTGAGTATGAAAGGATACAATATGACTAGTCTTGCTTGGTTTTAATTGTTGATGCCATATTTGCTCGATTAAAAGACAAGGTGCCCCCTCCCCCCCACTTAACATAGGGAAAAAAGCCCCTCGTCTTAGAAACAAGTATGAGGTGGCATGGGGCAGGCAGCTGCTGCTGCTCCAGCTCCAGCTCCAGCTCCAGCTCTGGCTCCAACACTGGGTCAGCCCCAACCCCACTACTCCTCCCCCACAGCCTCAGGCCCCACTACCCCATCTCCCACCTACACTGCTTCTCCCATCCTCCCACCTTTCCCCCCACCCATCACATTGGTTCTGGCGCTGACAGAATCCATCCCCACTGTAGCCTCGGGCTTGAGCATGGCCCCAGCCTGGTCCTGTAGCAGTAGTGAGACTTCAGGGGAGAGGAGACAAGGGACTGGGGACCCAAGGCTGTGGGAGACAGAAGCAGCATGGAGAGGGAAAGAAGGAGGGGGCGAGGGCCTGAGGCTGTGGAGTACAAGCGGCAGGGGGAAAGCTCAATGCCTTCCCCCCTACTTGCCCCACAGCCTCCACACTGCGTGCCCCTACCATTTGTCCCCTTACTGCCTGTTCCCCACTGCTCCCTCCACCCTTACTTCCCCCTTACTGCCTTCCCAAGCCCCACCCCACTGCCTGCCTCATTACTGCCCCACCACCACCTGCCCTACTGTGTGCCCCTCCACTGCCTCCCTCATTGTCTGTCCCCCAACTGCCCACAGTAGTGGGTGGATAAATTTAAGCTAGTTTCTATACACAGAAAATTATAATAACGATATGGATTTTCCATGTATAGAATCTAATTATTGGGTGGGGGGTTAGCTTAAATTCAGAGTCATCTTAGATATGAGTAAATACAGTACATTCAGAGTGCTTGAAAAAAGTTGTGGACATCAAGTGATCCGGTTTTCAAGTTTCATCAAGAGAGCCTGCGCATCTGCTGTGAGTTGAGTTCAGGGCTCCAATTAGGCTTAAAATCAATTAAACATTGTATGTGTTACCTTGCAGTCATTACTGGCAGGTGGTAATGAAGTGAATATTTTAGTGAGTTATGCATGTGGATGACAGGTTTTGAAACATTCAGACATTTACAAATGAGGTTATTTTGACAGAACAGTGCTAGCATGCATTTGAAGAGCAACTATGTTTAATTCTAAAACAGTCCATGGATGAGATTTGTCAGTTTTGCCCAACAAAATCCTTGGCTGTGGGTTTTATCTTATGTATTTATTTATTTGATGTCTTTGAACTTTCAGGCCTATGTGAATCTACTGTTCTGGTACCAATTCTTCTGTGGGTTTTCCGGAACATCAATGACCGACTATTGGATTTTAATTTTCTTCAACCTCCTCTTCACTTCTGTGCCACCCATCATTTATGGCATTCTGGATAAAGATGTCTCTGCAGAGGTCCTCATGCAGCTGCCACAGCTTTATGTGACTGGTCAAAACTCTATGGTATGTTACTACTTCGCCCGAAGCAGGTTGAAACCCACAGAATATGAGCATTTTCCATTTTTTTCTGTTGCTTCATGTTTTTGTTAAGTCAAAACAAACAAGTTCAGAACCATCTTCCATATCTGGAACCATCTGGGCCTGACATGCAAAGCTAAGTTGTTTTTCAGACCTCCTACACTATACTGTGCTAGTCCTGTAGCGTGAAGAGATGATAAATTCTGGATAAAACAGTGTGCTGAATGAATAATCTGTTACAGATGTGTTCTGCCTTATTCATATTTATTGAGACAGCTATCAATAAGCTCCCTGGAAACTAAGGCTCAGATGCTTAAAGGGAGTTTTGCCTACAGGGCTTAAGGTTCTAATAATTTGGGTAGCTCTGGTAATAAGCATGGTATGAGAACGTGATTAGAATTTACTGTGCCTTACACAGAATATCCAGATAAATCCTGGGCTCCCTTTTCTCTTTCACCTGTTTCATTTGCTCCTTCACAGGTCCCTCTGTATACACTGTTCTTTATATTTTCCTATGATGAAAATGAGAAAAATGACATTTGTCTGAAAAAATACTATTTTTAATTCAAAATTGAGAAAATTGTTCAGCCTCTCCCTGATCTCAGCTTTGCTTAGCATGGTTTCTTAGATTTCATAGACATTAGGGCTGGAAGGGACGTTGGGAGATCATCGAGTCCAGCCCCCTACCCCAAGGGCAGGAAGTTAGCTAGGGTCAAAGAATCCCAGCAAGATAAGTGTCCAAATACTTCTTAAAGGAGTCCACAGTAGGTGCTTGCACCACCTCTGGAGGCAGTCTATTTCAGGCTTTGGGGACTTGGACAGTAAAGAAGTTTTTCCTTATGTCCAGCCTAAAATGGCCTTGGAGGAGTTTGTGACCGCTGGACCTTGTCATCCCTTGGGGCGCTCTGATGAACAGGCATTCCCCCAAATCCTGATGCACACCCCTGATGTACTTACAGGCTGCCACCTGGTCACCCCTGAGCCTGCGCTTCTCCAGGCTGAAGAGTCCCATAGCTCACAGCCTGTCTTCATAAGGCCTAATCTCCAGCCCTCTGATCACGCATGTGGCTCTCCTCTGGACTCTCTCAAGCTTCTCCACATCCTTCTTGAATTGTGGAGCCCAGAATTGGATGCAGTACTCCAGCTGCGGTCTCACCAAGGCCAAGGTCAAATCCTGAGATTTACCTGAGAAGCATCTATGGATGCAAGTCAGAGTTTGGTTTGCTTTACCAGCGGTGACATCACATTGGTGGCTCATGTTCATTTTGTGGTCAATCACGACTCCCAAGTCTCTTTTGGCCATGGTGCTAGTGAGCGTAGCACTGCCGAGTCTTTAAGCGTGCTGCAGGGTTTTTTTCCCAAGGTGGAGTACATTACATTTGTCGGTATTGAATGTCATCAGGTTTATATATGCTCACTTTTTGAGCCTATCAAAGTCAGCCTGGATCACCAGCCTGTCCTCAGGTGTGGACACTCTACCCCAAAGTTTGGTGTCATTGGCAAACTTGGCCAGTCCACTTCTGACACCAGTATCCACATCATTGATAAAGACGTTAAAAAGAACAGGTCCAAGGCGGAGCCTTGGGGGACACTACTGGTCACTGAGCGCCATGATGATTCACTTCTGTCAACCAGGAGCACTCAGCATACTATTAGCTCACCAGTTTTCCCCACATACGAGGGCTGCAAACATCTTCATACTGATGGTTCCTGATTCAGATGATGCTCCAGCAGCCTTGTATCATTGAGCTTTACAGTTGCTTTATTATGGGACAATATAGCGAGATATTTTATGTCAGTGGAGGGTGGACCAACAAAGGTGCAACACAAATTAGCCCTGCAGCCTCCATGACTGCTGCTCCAATCTCCTTCCACTGCCTGGTCTGATGCTCTGCTTTCTGCTTCCTGCCCTGTCAGCTACTACTGCCTGTCTCCTCCCCACTCTGCCATGTGCCACACACAGAGGCTGTCTGTGTTACTTGTGGCTTATGTGCTACGGATTGGCCACCCTTGTTTTAAAGTAGTTCCTCCCCAGATATTTCAGTGTTTTACTTAGAATATTTTGTATCATTTGGTTAATCTAGAAATACATTTTGCAAAACCATATAGTCTCTCAAAAGAAGGGGTTATCACTGAAATCATTATTAAGTGGTATCCCACTTCATCTCTTGCTGTGCATTGGAGGTTGGCATTTCTGAATGAAAAGCACAACATACCATATTTCCTCGCATATCGCTTTCCCCCCCCCCCCCCCAAAAGACGTGCACCTTGTTTTTTGGAAGGTAGAATGTAGATTTTTTTTTCCAGGGTCATGGCTTAGAGGTGGCTTTTTTTGGGAGACAGTGTACTGCAAAATGGCTGCCTACTTCTCTCTCAGCTGGCAAACAGGAGACAGAATCTACCATTAACCGTTTCACATCCCCCCTCAAGTTTGCAGCAACTTTTGGCTGAGCAGATAGTCAGAAATGAATTCTAGCTATGGTTAATGGGATTAGTTCTTGAACCCCAACTTTTTTCCTTGTTTTCTTTGCAGGCCTACTCACCTTTAACTTTCTGGATCACCTTGCTGGATGCCTTTTACCAGAGTATGGTTTGCTTTTTCGTGCCTTATTTTGTAAGTAGTGATTTTCAACTATATTTATGCATTTTGATAATTTAACTATTATTTTTAATAAGAAGCAATTTGGTTGCCCTGTTTCAGACACATTTTAAAATGAGTATAATTATTGGAACTGCTTTGAATGTTATGTATATAAAACTAACCAATGTTGCAGCTGTTAGTGCCCTGGTACAATGCAGTATATGATATATTAGGGATATATGCATAGAATATATCAAACTTCATACATCTCTTATTTTACAGGCTTATTGTGGTTCAGACATAGATATCTTTTCTTTTGGAAACCCTCTAAATATAGCAGCCCTCTTCATAATATTGCTTCACCTCCTAATTGAAAGTAAGACTTTGGTGAGTATTTCTTTCATGCTTTATAAAGGGTATAATTTTACCAGAAGGTGTTTGTTCAGTACTTATTACAACTAAAGAAAGGGAAGAAATGCATATATGATATAGAAAAAATCTATTAAGCAATAAATACTGATCATTCTTTCCGTGTGAGTAGCAAGTACTCCTGTCACTGGCCTCATGGGAATACCATATTTTCTTGTGTGCAGCACAATCCCAAATAACACATGTATCTTGTTTTTGGAAAGCAGAACATAGAAAAAAAGAGTTTTCCAGAGTCATGGCTGACTGTGAGACATAGATTAAGTCCCCTGGGGAACATAGAGTGTCCAAGAAGTGTGGCATCAGGAGCTTCTTAGTGTGGCAGGCAGTCTCCTGCAGTGCCACACTCCCTGGACACAAAACATGTTTATAGATGTGCTCTGGGAGTAGGGGGGGAAGTGTGAGCGTCATATGAGCTTTAGTTAAAGCTGCTGCCATTTTTCAGCTTGGGGACACTGATACACATGACACTGGAGTCTGCTGGAGTGCAGTAATTACTATGCTCCACCAGACTCAATTGAGTCTGCTCCCACACACTGTAATTACAGTGCTTCAGAGTAGCCTTGCTGCACATGTATAGGCACCCTTTATGTTTCTAGGAGGACTTAGTCTATTTAACACAAGGTTAGGCCCTAGACCCTTGCAAGGAAGACTGTTAGTTCTTTACTGTAAGCAGTTCTTTATATAAATTACTGCAAATAAAGCGTTGATTCCACATAGCAAGCTTCATCAAGATGCTAACAACATTTCACTTGCTGCTTCAGGCATAAGTTATAGTGCTAAGCCAATAGTTATGGCTGTGAGAGAGTAAACACAAAACTCTGCCCCTTCAGCTTGCTGAGCAGATACAAGTGGCAGCTGTCTCACCAGCTGTATGACATGCACAGTGTCCCCAGGAGTGCTTCTTTTTCAGCAAAGAAAACTGTTTCCTCCCTTAAAACATGCAGCATGGTTTGGTGGGGAGGAGGGGCAAGAGCAGGGGAAGAGCTATTTTTGTGGGAAGAGGCGCATGTTGTATACAAGAATGTACAGTATCCACACAGTGAAAGTTAGCAAGGTCTTGCTCAAAGCCTGTACATAAACATGGAAGAACCAAGCATTATAACTTCTTTTGCCTTGGTGCTCTCAGCTTAAGTTTTCCAAAAGGAAATCACAAACCATTGATATACTCTGCCTTTACAAATTCTAGTGCCTTGCTTCCCATAGACAACAAATGTAGATTGTTAATTTTAAGTGCAGGGAACTGATAGCTTATTGTGTAGCCAAGATGAACAATTCAAAGGTATCTTTCCCTGCTAGAATAAGAAAACCATTATGCCAGAGAACTGTCGTTGTAGTTTTTAATTAAATCAGCGTTTGCTACAGGATAGTATGTGGGTTAAACCAGATCAGTTTTACATCTTTACATGGCATATATTTCTTAAAATAAACAATGGTGGCCTTATTAACACTTACATTTGCCTGTTTGGCCTAACTGGAGAAAACAGCAATCTGTTCAAACAGGAAGTTGCAGGGTGGTGGTTGTTTATTATTTTTCTATGCATTTACTACAGACCGTTTCTGAAATTGTTTCATAACAGATGAAATGTCAAGTTGATTCGAAAGCTTTTGATCTGAAGATTTGTGCATGTTACTAAACCTTTTTTTCCTCCATAGAGAGGGGCATGATAGGCCTCACAAAATAGCCTTTATTTAGCAAAGCCTGGATGGCATGAATGGCTCCATGCTCTGAATAGCAAAACATTACATAAATAGCCTTTTTTGGCATGTATGGATGTCTGCAAGCTGTCAAACCAGTGACAACATGGTTTCCATAGTAACTAATGTATTCAATTAAAAAAATTGAAACAACCCCCCACATACACAAAAGCCTAACAATGATAGACAATTGTTCTGTGTTTAAAGCAAAATATGTAGTGGTAGTATCATGTGAAAGTTTGATTTCCACTTGTTTGAGAAGGGCATCTCTGATGCCTATGAGTAATGTTGTCATCTGAAGTACATGGCATTAAAGAGTCTTCTACCATGGAATCATGAGTTTCCATGATTCCAAGAAAAATCTTTGCTTAAAAATGGATTAAATTACATGGCTACTTGTAAACTATAGAGGGAATGACCTGTTATCGCTAGGAATACTTGAGTGAAAAATCAAGCTTGTCATCTTCTCGAACCAATTTATGATCTCTAACTGAAGACCTGGTGTGTGTGTGTGTGTGTGTGTGTGTGTGTGTGTGTGTGTGTGTGTGCGCGCGCCTATTGACACTTCTCTATCTGTAAGCACTTAGACCTGATTTTTCTTTCTGCCTGTTTCTTTTCTAAATTACAGACTTGGATACATGTGACTGTTGTAGTTGGTAGCATCTTATTTTACTTTGTTTTTGCACTGACTTTTGGAGCAGCCTGCAAAACCTGCAATCCACCATCAAATCCCTATTGGATCATGCAGAAACACATGACAGACCCAGTGTTTTTTCTTGTCTGCGTCCTTGCTACTTGTATTGCTCTGATGCCCAGGTACTTTGTTATTTTACAGTTACAAGTTACTGGTATCAGTTAACTTAAATTTTGTTGAGGCTTTGGTCTTATAAATAGGACCTACTGAAATCGTGATTTCACAGATTTTGCAAAAACCAGCATTGCCTGCAAAAGCAGGCAGTGCCTGTGAAATTCCCAAATCCATGGGGGAAGATAAAAGAAAACTTACTGAAAAGAAAACGACAGCTCCCCAGAAGGAGCCAGCTATCCTTGGGGTGCTATGGCAGCTTGCTGGAGGGCGGGGGGAGAAGAGGGAGCTGCCTGCTTGAAGGGTTGCCGGCAAGATGCCTGCTGCCTTTGCCCCTGGCCAGTGGTTGGTTGTGAAAGGGTTGCCTGCCATGTGGCCCTGCTTCCTCCACCAGTTGATGGCAAGGGACAGGGTTGCATGATGAACAGCCCTTACAACCAATCAGTGGCAAGGGTTGGGGCCACCAGGGCACCTCAGCCAATCGGGGGGGGGGGGGGGGGGGGGGGG